GGGGGGGGAGGGAGTGAGTTGGGTGGCATATAAAGCTTGATTGGTTGAGTGACATTGTGGTTTATTGAGGAGCTTTGAGCTTTCTCTTTATTCACCTCTCTAGCTGGTTTTACACAAACCACAGTTAGTTTGAGACTTTGAGTTGAATTTTGCTACCTAAGGGCTAGGCCTGAGCTCAGCCCGAAATGAAAAAGCCAAAACTTTTGGGTCCAAGCCCAGCCTGAGGACTGAAAACCTAAGCCCAGCCTGTGTAAAATTGTTGGCTGGGTTGGTGCAGGTTGGGTCGTGCCCGCCCAAGTTGCACCCCTAGAAGAAACTGAATTTTTAGATTCCTTCACTAGGGGTACTTTCTGAACTTTTGGGTGGTTTGGATTTTGGTCAATATGACTTTTCCGAAAGTTATTTTGGTTTATTTTTTATAAATTATAAGTAGTTATTTTAGTTTATTAATGTCATAGGGATAGGATTAATCATGTTAAATGATCAAAGTAGTTAAAAAATCTTCTAAAACTTTGAAGAGTTTTGGTTACAATCACGTTAGTTTTCCTTGGGCTGTTTTCTAGGGGTAAAAGTTGTCCATTTTGTGTGATTTTGGTCTCATTGGTTAGGTTATTTAATCCTATGAGACCATGTTCTTGTAAACATAATGCATTTTTAGAGTTATTGCCATTTTATTCTTAGGATGTTAGTGTTGTAGTAGGATTAAAAGTGGATTACAAAGTTATTTTTGGAGTTTTAAGTTCTAATTTGACCGTCTTTATGAGATATTATGTGTTAAATCTGAAGTCTGAGAAAGCAAAAAGGATTTGAGTGTAGCTATAGACTCTAAATTGCTATAGTCTGTTTCTTGCTTTCTGTCCTTTAAATGCAGTTGAATTGTTTGAATATCTGGTTCAAGGATTGAAATATCAATACGATACATCCGATAAGGGGCGTATTGTATCGGTATCGATTACAAGGGATACATGATATGCTATGATTAGGTCCTTATCCATTGAATTGGGCGTATCAGACTGATACACACCTGTATTGACTTGTATCGTGTGTATCAGCCAATACAAACTGATACAGGGTGATACCGACTGCTACACTGACTGCATTGCATATGCATCTCTATTAAAAAAAGGCACAAGTGGCATGATTTGGTCTTGGTTGTCTAGTGCCCAAGCCTTAAATACATCTTCTAACCACTGAGCTATCTTATATCTTTTGATAATAGATGAAATAAAATAACTTTTGGATGGGGATGAAGAAGGTATAGGTGGAGTGTTCAGGGATGAAGAAGGTCGAATTATTGCCATGTATTCGGGTCCTATTGGACGGGAGGATTCTCTGAGAGCAGAAATATTGGCAGTCTTGGAAGGGATTAAAAGAGCCCAACAGCTGAATATCAGAAAACTGTTGGTGGAAGGTGACTCTAGGCTGGCTATTAGTTGGTTGCAGAAGGAAGATTTCAGTTTGTGGAGATACTTAAATGAGAAAAAGAAAATTAAACAGCTGTCTCAAAAATATGGAAATTCATTTTCAGTGTACTAAGAGGAGTGCCAATTCTTTGTCAGACTTTGTGGCCAAACAAGGGGTGGGAAGAACTAATCTTTTTTGGGTAATGTTGTAATCTGAAGTCTACTTTTAGGGAGGGTTAAGAGATTTTACCCCTCCCACCTGTTGTATCTTTCTTTTTTACTCTTATTGTTAATAAAAGTTTCTGTTATTTATAAAAAAAATGAAATAAAATTACTTTTGTTAACTTCAATGTCTACAGGGTGAAAGATGAAAAACTGTTTTTCACTATGAAAGAAAATGAGAAACAGTATATAGTACGTTGTGATTTGTAATCCAAACCAACCCTTAACTATTGCAGAGCTGTTCTCCCTTCTCTGAACTCAAAGAACAAAACAAGAGAAGAGAATCCACCCTACCAATAGCATCTTTCTTCTTTCTAACCTCTTTTTTTTCATCTCTAACAACAACAACAAAAAAAAGAAAAACTTCCTCCCTACATACAAAAGAAACCTTTTATATGTAAAATCCGCCAACTTAAAGCAGAGACTGCATGAACCATTAGATTAACCTAATCTGATGGTTGAAAAATAAGACAATCCCAGCATCAACCACAGAGGTATGCACATCATTGGTAACACTGCATATCGTTAATATTTTTCCCTTGCTGAAAAAAGGTTATGCTTTAGCCTTTAGGAACACACTGATCAAGTAACCTAAGATTTTTTTGGTAATACTTACTGCCATTTCTAAATCATAATTTAGTCTTCTACATCTAGAATTAGTTTTCTTTGTTTATGCTTGAACCTCCTATGCTGATATTTATATTTTTAGATCAATATTAATGGTCATAATTCTTTTTTTTGCAGGATAATTTCAATGCCGCAATTACATATTACCACAAGGTAAAGTACTGGCGGCTATTGTGAGGATTATTTAATTGTTATTTTATAGTTGCTTTAAGTGGGTTGTCCTCTTAAGATGCTGTCAGATAGTTATTTTCTTTCTTTCTTATTAGTTTGTTTCTAGGGAGTGCCCCTACGGGCATACTTGTAATTTCCATTCATTTTATATTAAGTTAATATAAATAATGAACTGGCAGCAGCCAGGAGAAGGTTTTCTTTTTCTCTCAATCGTATCTTCCTCTTCTTTTCTTTCTCTCTCTCGTCTCTCTCTCTCTCCATGAATGATTACATGGTATCAAAGCAAGGTTCTGGGCTATAAAAGAATTTCAGTCTCTCCTATTTGAACTTGCTTCGTCCTCTTTTTCTTCTTTGATTTCTTGGACGTGGAAGACAGAGAAACCCTAGAAGACTACTCTCGGCTCTTCCTTTGGGTTTTTCCTTGGTCGTAATATCAAGGAAACCCTAGTCGAAGAAGGGCGATGCAGAAAAACACTCCCCTTCTTTTCTGTTCGATGCTGTGAAGTCAGTTTCTGGTTGGCACCTTCATACAGGTGCTGGACAGGGTATGTGTTCTTGTTTTTTTGTTTTTGGCCAATGGTGTGAAGGCCTTATTCCTTGGTTCTATACATTCGTTTGGATGCTGGATTGTTAGACTGTATTGGCTGTAGTCGGACTGATAGTATACTATTCTAACGTCTGCCTTGGCTGGTGTTGGACTGATTACCGGGCTGGTTTAATGACTGAACCATCACAGAGTTGATTTCAGCAGTTTTTTGTTGTCTTTTCCACATCCCAGAAGTAAATTTCTTGAGGGTTGGTATTCTGTTTGTGGTTATTGTGTAGTTGTGTGGGATTTAGACTGATTTCAGCAGTAATCTATGGCAAACTATGATTCAACCTCATTGGGGGTTACACCGACCCGCATCACAGCTAGTATGGGAGGTGAAAACATGATGTTTCCCATGCCCATTACCCCTTTAAATGGTCTAAACTACTTGGAGTGGGCTAAAAGTGTAAAACTTTATGTAATGGCAAGGGGAAAAGCTGGTTACATAAATGGAAGGGTGAACCCAAGAATGAGACAGCTGAACATGATAGGTGGGACCAAGAAAACATTATGGTGATGTCTTGGCTCCTTACAGCCATGGAACCTGATGTGAAGAACTTTATGTGGGCAGACACTGCTAGTGAGATCTGGGAACAGGCCAAAACTACCTATTTTGATCCAAGGCATTATGCCAAGGTTTACCAGTTGCAAGCTGAATCCTCAACCTGTAAACAGGGAAATCGTAGTTTGTCTTCCTATTATTCAGCCCTTACTTC